GCAGCATCATTAGTGAAATGCCTCTGTTTCAGTGCTTCTGCCTGGCTATTTGCATAGTGTATTCAAGTGCTCAGTCTACTGTTTCTTTTGCTTTGCCTTACAGCTAAATAATCAGTCTCTAGGAGAAGAAAAAAGGACAACACAACAATATACTTCAAAGAAGTGGACTGAGGCTGTTAACTACTGTCTTGTGGTAACGGGAATGTTTTCGGGTCTGAGCAGTGCCCTAGTCCCACAGCCAAGCTGAGCTTTATCTGTTTTCCAGCCTTCATGCAGTACCTAGTACCCAAGGCTCTCATGACTAGGAACAACAACAAGGATAGTGATAATGAATATTCAGACATCCCACAAACCACTCTCAGCATCTGCCATCCTATCTGCATTAGCATCAGAGTGCACAGATAATGATCAAAGCAGCATTTTCCTGCCAGAGGCCCCCCTAAACCAGCCTTATTAGTATGAATAGATGCTGATTAATGTGCTCCCTTAATGCAATTGTATCTACCCCTACTGTCCATGATTTAATATAAAACATCTCTCCCTTTGCTTGCCTTCCTACTACCGCGTGCAAGGTGCAAACCTTGACTGAGGGTACCAGGAAAATCAGTGGCTCAAGTTTTGCGAGAGAGAGGCCTAAAATCTGCTAAAATGCAATACACAGAAGAAGGGAATGAGCCTTTGGAGACTGTAACAGCGAACTGCCTTTCTGTGCTAGGATGGCAGACTGGGATTCAGGCATCCTACGAAGAGGTATAGGCAGCTATGCTATTCTACAGCAACTGTGTTTACGCAGTGTATAAAACAGCCTTGCTCACTAAAACAGGCTCTGTGCTTGCTGCTGACGGACTTCTGGACTTCAGCTGTGATGGAAGGAGGAGTGTTGCATGTTTTAGTTTGATGCTGCTTCCTTTTTAACATCACCTGTAAAAATGAGAAAATGCTTTTTGCCTTACGCTGCTGTGTAGCACTGACAGTGGCTTTATCTCTGCGGGTTTTCAATGTAAATGGTTCTAATTCGCTGTGTCCATGCTCCCGCACAGCAAGACGCTGGGGAAATCACCACTAAACAGGCAACAGCGTTTCAATTAAGGACGGGTGAGGTCCTCTCGCCTGATTTCACATTCTACTCCAAATCCTTGGTTGCTGTGGCTGGTTTGAGGTCTGCTGCCATTGGCCTTAGGAGAAGAGCAGTGGTCAGGTCAAACCTCATTCAACAAAATCACAAGTGCCCCAAGGAACTGTCTGACTGAGGGACAAAGAACAAACCAGCCAACCAAAAAAAGTGTGGGAGAAAAGGAACATTGAAAGAGAAGACTACACAGAAAATTCCCATGCTCCAACTCAGCTGCTTTTCTAAGGAAAGGAGTGATATCCTTAATGTAGAATATGTGCCTCCCTTGGGCTAGTCTAGTACAAAGAGCAATTGAGAGACATCATCTGGGAGGAAAGAGGCTTCAATGTTGGAATTAAACAGTCGACAAAATCCCAACAGTTTCACAGATTCTCAAAGTCAATTTAAGGACCCCACAAAATGAGATTTTACCCCTGTGGGTTTCAGTAAAATGATATGTTCTGGAGGGTGTGTGTGTGTTCAGAGTCCGCCTCTTAGCTGCTAGAATTGGCTGTGGCTCCACTAATTCACTATAGCTAGACTGATTTTTACACTCCTTAAAAAATGCATGGGTCCAATTTTTAAGTGACCAGTTCTGCCAACAGGGCCAGATATTAAAAATAAACAATCCTCCAACGTCTAGCCAGCCTCCTTCCTAATGGCTCCATCTGCTCTGCTGAAGCACATGAGTTTTTCCCCTCCTCCTCAGCTGACCGCAGCTGGAGCAGAAGTTAGTCCCAGAGAGTGTGTTTCCAAAGCACTCAACTCCCAGCAACTCAAACCATGACACGCATGGCTGGATTTCCGCAAGCCCTCAGCTCCCTCCTTCAGCTTAGTGCATGGTATTTGTCCATGAGATGCATCCCTACGTCCCCTTGCAGTCTTCCCACGTCTCTCTGAACTCTCTACCTATTTCTACTGGAATCTGTCTCACCTCCAGTTTCTTTTCTGAATAATGACTTCTCCAGCATTGTGACCAGCTGCAAGACCCTTCTCAGACACCCACACACACCCATGAGCCTCTTGTGCATGCAGAATGCTGCTGCCCATTTCTGCCCATGTTGGAAGGAGGACATTGTTCTCCCCATGCTAGAAGTGTCTTTCATAAGTGCTTTGGCAATATCCATCAAATATCCATGGAGATAAACAGATCCCTTTCCACTTCTTATGTATAGAATTAATCCTCAACCAAGAAAAGCCTTCAAATTCTTAGCAGTCTCCTACAAACCAAAGGGGAATTTGTTCCTCACCCCTTAGCATATTGTCCTGGTTTCGGTAGGGATAGAGTTAATTTCCTTTCTAGTAGCTGGTACAGTGTTTTGGATTTAGGATGAGAACAAAGTTGATAACGCACCGATGTTTTAGTTGTTGCTAGGTAATGCTTACACTAGCCAAGGACTTTTCAGCTTCCCATGCTCTACCGACTGAGAAGGCTGGAGGTGCACAAGAAGCTGGGAGGGGGCA